GAAGATGTGTGCTGCTGGTGCCTGGAAGTTTCACCTCCTATGTGTGGGGGCAGCTGTGCTCCTCAGCATTAGGGACAGTGGTATGGCAGCCTGGAAGGTTCACTTCCTATGTGCTGGGGGCAGCTCTGCCCCTCAGCACTTGGTGTGGTGATACAGTGGCCCAGAATGTTCACCTCCTTGGTGCTGCAGGCATCTCTGCTCCTCTGGAGATACATTTTAACTAGATCATCAAAATGAAAGTGTCCTGGGGCTGGGGATTTAGCTCAGTGGTTCTACTGCCTACTTCACAAGTGCAAGGATCACAGTTTAATCCCCAGTACAAAATATTAGCAGAAGTCTTATTCATTGATTTCTGAACCAGCAAAATCATTCATAATTGCTAGCAAAGGAAATCAGCCTCAGCTCATCACATAAGGCAAATTAACTAAAATGCACATAATTTTTCCTGAGTGTCCATTAATCAACATTAACTCTTTTGATACTTTTATCTCCTATTTTTCCATCTCAGTTTTTTTTCTTCTGGATATTCTGCTCCCTCCTCCATTGGGCACCACCTCAAAAATGAATGCAGTCAGAACAAAGGTTGAAATGGGTAAGAGGGTCAGGCCAGGGAGTAGAACATGGAAGGATCATAAGCATAAGCATGCTGCAAATGAAAATATATTTTAGAATTATCTTTCCAAAACTGTGAAAGATGAATTGGAGGATAGAAGCAAGGAGACAGACACATAGGAAGATAAATGCAGAGGATAGATGAAATTGGGCCAAAGAGTACCACCACAAAAAAAAAAAGAAGAAGAAGAGGGAGGGGAGGGAGAGGAGGAGGGGGGAAAAAGAAGAGGAAGAAGAAAGAAGAAAGAAAGAAAGAAAGAAAGAAAGAAAGAAAGAAAGAAAGAAAGAAAGAAAGAAAGAAAGAAAAAGAAAATCAGGCATGATCAGGATGGACTCAGCCATGATCCAGATTCATGTTTCTAAAATATTCTGGTACAGATGAAGCCAATAAAGAGAAAGAAGCATGCCCCTTTCAATCTAGCATATTGATCTACCTATATTGATTCAATCTAGCTATTTCAAGGGATATTTAACCAGCTCTCTCAGCTTTCCTAAGCCCAAGCAAGTCTGAAAGGCATCTCTGCAAAAAAAGAACATTGTACCTGAAAGCAGGTATGTCAAACACTCAAATTAATCTAATCATAATGACTCTTTGATAATTTAGAAGGTTTTCAATATGTAGCAATAACAAAAAAATCATCATTACCAAATCAATTATCACTCCACGTGTGATTTACAGAAATGCAATTCCAAACTTCTGGTAAAAAAGAAAATAGGATTCTTAATAAACAACTGTACATTAAAAATACTAGAGTCAATTTCCTTTTTTTTTTTATCTTTCCTTCTTTTCATCCAGTCAAAATTAAACATTTACTGAGAATATAAGTCTTCCAAAGCAAGTTAGATGACACTAAAAGAAAAAAAGCCAAACAACATTTTCCAAATCTAGGACACACGCTGTTTTAAAAATATATCTGGTCATAAATAAATATATTGAGCACATTAATAAATGGCTCTTTCGAAAGCTCTTCACTCACCAGGACTTTAAATCACCACTCAGAAAATAAAGGAGTATTGAGAATTTGAAAAGTAAGCATAATTCAGTCCTCTCCAAGTTATTCTGCATTTTTTCAAGGTTAGTTGTTCTTGTAAAACATACATAAATATGCATATCTTCTCTCTGAGTCAGGCTCATTTCAACATCCTAAAGCAAAAAGAAATAGGAAAGTCATAAGAGAGTTTTAGATACCACAGCCTGAATGAAACTTGAATACCAAAAAAGACTGAAATATGGATACCTGGAAAAGATGTGTTTCTGTAGACTCCACAGCCTTCCCTTCAGGGCTCAGTCCAGGGCAGGCTGTGGGACTGGAGCAGATAGACTGCTGTGGCTGCTGAGCAGGGATTGGCAAGGGCCAATGGCATTGGTTATGAAGAGGAAGGTGGCCCAGAAGCTTGCTGCTCAGAAGGCCTTGACAGGCACGTTCCCAAAAGTGTGCATTGTGGCTCTGGGCGTTGTGGTTCTTGGAGAATAAAAATTCCCCCGCCTTCTGATCTGAAGTATCTACTGGTCCCATGGTCTCCTTCCCGGGTTTGAACTCCCTTTGAAATTGTGAAGTCATCACAGTGGGGATGTCTATGAAGCCCGAATCTGATGGAGTGAAGTGAGTTCTGAAACATGGAACCCTTACCAAGTTCAGAGCAAATGGCAACACTATGGAAGAAATCACCTTCAGATGTGCTCTCCTGCCTCCACCCCACCTGGTCTTGATTTTGCTTGGAAGCAGTGCAGCCAAGGGGAGGAAGACTCACTCTGGGTTTCAGGGTGGAGGAGGAAGAGCTCCAGTTGCCAGGGCTGGACCACTACTTCTGATAGAGCAGTACTAAACAGTAAGACAGCCCCTGGCCTTGCCTCCATTTTTTTCTCCACAGAATGTTTTGTTTTGGAAATGTAAGTTTATGTGGCTGGGCTCCTGCCCAGTGTATCAAAATGGTGTGTGGCTGTCTGAACTGTGTGACCTTTCAGGAATGTTCTGTTAAGCCCTGCCCTCTCACAAGAAGGTTCTGTTAAGCTCTGAACCCTGTCAGGAATGTTCTGTAACTCTGCCCCACCCCCACCCACCCCCACCCCCTCTTCAATGAGCATGCTCACCTACCCTGTGGCTCCCTATATAAGAAGGCTCTCATTTCTGGTAGAGTGCTCAGACTCCTCTACTAAAAGGCTTATCTCCGCCTCTTCAACTAACCATCAGATTCTCAAGTCTTCAAAGAATGAGAGCTGTGACCCAGAGCTGCCACACTGAGCAATAAAGCTCAGCTGTGCCTCAGAGCTGTGTTTCAGAGCCGCCACACTGAGTTGTAACACTTCGCTATAGCACAGAGCTGCTCCTCTCTGCTGCAACACTTCTGAGCATCCCAAGACCAAGCCCTAACTTCCATGGGAAGCTCTTTCCCACCCCACCCAATGGCTGGTGCAGGCCCAAGACCACATGTGGGCATTGTTATGGAGAAGAGGCCCTGCGAAAAGCCACTGTCACCTTTTAAGGGGAAAGAGAGTCAGGCCTGGGCACTGGTGGGCAGCGCTGAGAAAGGTTTCCTCCACTATGGTGTCATACAGAAAGGGTGGGGTGTGGCAGAATGTGGGTGAGCTCTGTTACCAAGGCACTTGCCACACAGGTGGCTCCCAGAAAGCTTCTAGCAGACCTAGGGTCAGCACCCTACTGGCCTAGATCTGTGTGACTGAACCTTGCCCTGTCATGTTTTTGCTTTGTTTCTGGGCTACACTGTTGCTGCACTGGCAACAGATGTGCCTGCCCATCCTGGCTGGACCCCATACCCAGTTCAGCTGAACTCTGAGCCCCTAGCAGCTAATAAGCCCTCTTCCCTCGATTCTGATCTCCCACTTGAATCACTCATTGACCTTACTCCCCCAGAAGAGCCTGGAAGCTTTGTTTACCTGGATTCCTCTGTGCCCACCAAGATGCTGTCTCCACCTCAGAGGTTTGCTGGACAGCTGTCCCCACAGCTGGATAAGGTTGCTGCCCCACACCAAGGTCTAGCTTGGCAAGAGAGGCTCCAAAAACTGCTTCTGATGGTAGATGGGGGTCAGAATCAATTTCTAGCTCTGCCTCCTCACCTCAAAAGGAAGATCCAGACTTCTGGGCTCCATCACACTGCAGACCACCAGGCAGGTGAAGTACCTTTTGTACCTCTGGACAGGCAGCAGTCAAAAGCAGCAAAGTTTCTTTCACACCTGAACAAGGAGGAGGAGCAGGATCAGCATCAGCAACTCCCTGAGGTGGTGGTTGGAACTCCACATCAACTTGAAAAACCTAAGTTTCAGGAGCAAATCTCCCAAGAGAAGGATATTTACACAAGTATGGATGGAGGTGAGCATGACAGCCATGATCTGGAGTCCCAGGAGAACACAGATCAGCCTCCAGAGGCCCCTGGACAAACTACACCTTCTCAATTCCAGCTGGAGGCCCAGAATCTCCACCCAGAGACTCCCCAGGTACAATCCTTTTCTCCTTAGCAAGAAACAACAGCTCAGTTCTCACAGTGCCCTGAGGAAGGGGAACCTTCTTCCACCCAGAGTCAGCCTGACCTTGCTGCTGAGGAGGGTGTGGAGCAGCTGTTGGTGCCACAGGAGGTAAAAGCTCCATCTCTGGGTAGGAGGGAAGAACATCATTCACAGGAGCTGGTGGTCACAGTTAATGTGCTTGTGAAGAACATGAGGACCACGCCGGCTGGGAAGGAGGCTCAACCTCCTCCACTCCACCAGCAGGCCCCAGCATCACTTTCAGAGAGTCCTGAGGGAGTGAAACCTTCTCCAACCCAGCAAGAGGCCCCATCTCAGCCTCCAGGCTCTCCTATGGAGACTGAACTTTCTCCCAGCCAGCAAGACCAGCCACTTTTGACTTCTGAGACTGCTGAGGAGGTAGAAACTTCTGGAAGCCAGCTGGAAGCTCTGCCTGAAACTGAAAATCCTCTGGAGGAAGTTAAATCTCCAGTCCAGGAAGATACACCAGCTCTAGAAACCACTCTAGGGAGGCTAGGTGATGAAGTAAGAATTTCAACTCCAGCTCACCATCAAGCCAAGCATTCACACTGGCTCAGGCTGACAGTGAACCCTCCAGACCTACTGCTCACCAAAAGACCAGAACCCACTGCTGAGGTGAGAACTTCCCAAACCCACCATGAGGTTCCAGCTCAAGTCTCAGTTCTACTGGATGATGTGGAACTCCCTGTGACATTGATTGAGGCCCTGACTCTGCCTCCAGAGCCCTCTGAAGGGGCTGAATTCTTCAAGTTCCAATGGGAGGTTCTATTTCCATCTTCAGAATCCATTCAGGATGAGCAAGGCTCTCCCAGCCCGCAGGAGAGCATGGATGGGAGTCTCCAGGCTTCTGAGGAGAGTGAAGCTTCTTCAACCCAGTGGGAGGCCACAGTTGAACATCTACAAACCTCCAAGGAGGTTGAACCATCTTCTACCCCTGAAGGGGCTGGATCTCAGCCTCCAGAGCTCCCTCATGAAATCACAGCTCAGGCTCTAGGACATCACAAGGCAGCAGTTTCTTCTCCAACTGATGTTCCCAGGTCAGCCTCCAGCATTCGACAGTGTCACTGTTCAGCCTCCAGAGCTGAGTGATGAGGTTGCAATTGCAAGTTCAACAGAACAAGGGATCCTAGCTCAGTCCTCAGTGTCCCCTGAGCAGTTTGGACCTTTCACCGAGAAGGAAGAGGCTCCAACTCAGCAGCCCAACCCTGCCATGAAGGATAAACCTTCTGCATCCCAGGGCAGGGTCCCAAGTTGGCATGCAGAGCTTCCTGAGGAGCATTCTGGACACCAGAAGGAGAGCTCAGCTCTGTCCCCAAACTTCTCTGCCAGAGCTGCACTTCAATCAGTCTACCATGAGCTCCCAGCTCAGCCTCAGAGACCCTCTGTGAGTGCTACTATGACTTTTGTAGCCCAGCTTTCTGAGCTGCCTGAGGACATAACACCATCTTCAGTCCCCCAGGAGGCTGCAGCCCCACCTTCAGGGCCACCTAAGGAGCTGGAACCTTCTCCAGCTCAGCAGATGACACCACCTCAGCCTGTAGAATTCCCTGAAGTGGGCAAACTCTCCGTGCTGCTGCCAGCCCTATCTCCACCCCCAGAGCCTCCTGAGGAGGTAGAGCTTTCTCCAGCTCAGGCGGTGGACCCATCTCAGCATCCACATGAGCCACCCAGTGAGAGTGTAGCTCCCCCTCCAGCCCAATATGATATTACAGTTTCATTCCCAGCACAGAACCAAGCTGTGGTGCCACCATTGCCCAGTGTCACATCTGATTATTTGGACATGGAAACCACTATCACTCCAGTATGCACTGCAGAGGGTGAACTTCCTACTGGCCTCCAGAGGTCTGCAGCTGTTCATGCAAGGCCCGCCAAGGTGACAATTCCACCACCAAACCTGATTCTGGGCACAGTTGGACCTTTGGACCCAGAGCTTACCAGAACTCCACCGTGGACTGCAGAAGCTAGAGTTTCTCTAGCTATGCAGAAGCCCTCCTCCCAGCCTACAGACCCAGCTGAGTCTGTCACTCAACCTCCAGCACCTTCTGAGACAGAAGCTCCAAGTCCTAGTCAGGAGCCCACTCAACATTGCCCATCGGCCCCGGTCACAGGCCCACCTTCCCACGTGGATCCCAGCAGCACTGCTGTGCCCTCCACAGAGGCTGCACACTCTCCATCCCCACAGAAATCTACAGTTCCTCCTGTAATGCCGACTGGGGTGATGCTGCCACACCCAGACCAGGTTCAGTCTCAGCATCCAATCCTGACTGAAGTCACCACTCAACCAGTGGAGGTGAAGGCTCTAACTGTGCTAAGTGCACAGAGAAGCATGACACACAAGGACATATGCGAACTCTGTTCCTGCCAGGAGGAGACCCTGGCTTGCACTGACCTTGGCCCCACCCGCAGGCTGCATGAGGTGCCTGCCCTTGAGCCTAGTGCCCACAACAGGACCTTCACTGTCCTAAATTTCCAAGGAAATTCTATTTCTTTCCTTGATAAGAATGTTTGGAGAACATACCAGTGGGTTGAGAAACTAAATCTCAGTGAAAACTCCCTGACTGAATTACAAAAAGACTCCTTTGCAGGCCTGCTGTCCCTACAGTACTTAGATTTATCCTGCAATAAAATACATTCAACTGAAAGAGGGACATTTGACTCACTACCCTTTTTGCAGTTTGTAAATCTTCGTTGCAATTTTGTTTCTCAGATCAGCTATGGAACATTTCATGCGTGGCATGGGATGCAGTTTTTACATCAAGTAGTCCTCAACAATAACCCTCTGACAACTATCGAAGATCCATCTTTTTTTAAATTACCAGCATTAAAACACCTAGACTTGGGAGCAACACACATGCCCCCTGCAGTGCTGGAGAACATCCTCACCATGACTCTGGAGTTGCAAAAACTGATCTTGCCGAGCCACATGGCCTGCTGCCTCTGCCAAATTAAGAGTGATATTGAGGGTGTGTGCCCGACAGTCAAGCTGCACTGTGACAGCACCTGTCTGTCCAACACCATGCAGTGCCTTGAGGCAGCAGCCATGGGGAATGTGGATGGGGCACTCATGAAGGTGCTGCAGACCCGGAACAACAGCACCAGCACCCAGCTGAGCATCGAGCCTGAGACATCATCTTCACAGCAAAGTGTGGCCCCCTGGTCGGCCATCATGAGTGACCAGCACAAGTTTCATGACCAAAGTGACGTGACCGACGCCCTCAGCTACATGGTGCCCTATCTCTCAGAGGGAAGCCCAGAGGATGTGCAGTCAGCTCTACTGCCACTCATTGCAAGGCTTTTTCCAAATGCATTTCATGGAGATAACACAGATTCTTTAAAAAAGGATATAAAGAAGTCCTCCTTTATCCACGAATCCAACAAAAATAAACTTGAAGAGCTGTATTTGCTCAGAAATCAGTTAAATATAGAAATTCAGAAAAAAATGGAGGAGGTTAAGAAGGAAGACGACACTGTCAGGCATATACAGCCCAGCATTTTGGGTCCCACCTTGGAGCCCCAAATATCTAGAACACTGGGAAGGGCTCTGACACAGGAAAACAGCATGGCGGAAGACCTGAGAGGAAGGAGAAGGCTGCACACAGTGGACAGGGTCCTCAGGGGCCTGAAGGGCACAGGTAGAAGGCTGCTGCAGGACAAGTGGAAGCAGCAGGTCAGGGGCAGGCAGGTCACCTGGCCCCTTGCACAAGCAGCCTCGGGGACCCCAGTGGCATGGAGCTGGAGCAGCATAATGAGGGCCCCCAGGCCCAGGAATCTGGCCAGATTCTCCATCCTCACAGAAGGACAGAGGGCAGCCACCCCTTCCTCCCTGCCAGCTCCCTGGCTGGGCAGGTCCCCCACCTCCACCCCTGCCAGAGCCCAGCCTGTGGTGAGAAGCAGAGTGAAAGACTTCACCCACGGCCTATGGTTTCTAAACCATGGGCAGGACAGAGTGCTAAGAATGAAGGCAACTCCACCTGCCTGGCAGTCACAAAAGCATCATCTCTTGGCTGAAACTCTCTTCCCTGTGTCCCTCAAAACAGCCCAGGCCAACCTGAGGGCACAGCTCACCAAGGGAAATGCACGCAGTGGCCTGAGCCCAGCAAAGAGGCTTGGGTTCTGGGAACTGAGGAGCCTCATGGACTCCCCTCCAGGAGGCTTCCCGTCAGCACCAGGGGACCTTCGTGTGTCTGCTGCAGACTCTGCCTCGGGCTCGGCCTCGACCCTCACATACATCACCTCCCCAGGGCTGCCGCCCCTGGGGGTTGGGTTAGAAATGCAGCTGAATCACTTGCTGCAGCCACTCATCCCTGACAACAACCTGAGAAGGCTCTTCACTCAGGTCATCAGCATTTTGAAAATGGACTGCGCTGAGCCCCCCGCACCCCCTGCCTGTGCCAAGCTCATCTCCAAGTCTTGCTAACTGCTGATGCTTCTGACTGAGCAGCAGGAGGCCACGGTGTCCCAGGCCCAGGGGGAGCAGCAGCAGCTGTATTCTGACCCCGTGGTCATGGAGGGGACAGAAGCCCATGGCAAGCAGAAGGGACAGCAGACGCCTTGGATGTTCAGAGAACATGTTCTTGAAAGCATGTATATATACAAAGGCATCATTGGGGCATTAGCAGTCCTGGCTGTGATACGGATAGCTGTCATCATCGTCCTCTGTGTCAGGCAGAGTTACCGGCACAGAAGAGCCAGAGTGGAAGATCCAGAGGCCAGGAGGAAGCCCAGCAAAGAGGCCAAGCCTGCAGAATCAGCCAGTGACAGGTAGAATGACAGGGAGAGTGATGAGCTAGTGGAGATGCTCACCAACTGACCTCGTCCTGCAAGTGACCAGCAAAGCTTATTTTTCCCTTGTCAATAAAGACTTTCTCATCTCCTGCTAAAAAAAAAAGAAAAGAAAAGAAACTTGAATACCATCTATAAGCTTGTGTCATTAAGAAGTTTAATATTTTTAATGCATTCACTGCATTTATAGCTGGCTCTAAGGCACTTATTTCTGGCTGCAAGGTTTGACAGCAGCCTAAGCAAGCTGTGTATAGTAGCCATGGTGGCTAATCCACTTATGTGCAAAATCTAAATTACTTTAGTACCACAATGCTTGAAGAAACAAGGTATTTTTATGTGGAAGATCAAATACAAACCTGTTCTTCCCACTCTACTAACAGGACAGAATTTAGTTCACTGACAATTATTTGGCAAAAATTTTTCTTAACAAATGTACTTTGGGGTTCATGGCAATTTTTAGTCTCCCCAGCATAAGTATTGCATGCAGATAAAAATCAAAAGCACAGAGTATAATTAAAACTTTTTTTTCACAGCTAAAAAAAAAACTTTTACACTCTAATTACCATATTCATAGGACTCATCCTATTCAGGAAAGAAGTGGGCTTATTAATTTAAACATCTCTCTTTTCTAATTCAATGTTTTGTTATTGATTTCACAGTCACTGAGATGGAAATTGAAAGTTTCCTTTCCCCACATTTTAATTAGTTAATTGATTTGGTTGTTCATTATTTCTACAGTGAAATTTCTTAAACCATGGTGGGGTTGCGGGGGGAGTAGAATAAACTAGAAATCTATTCTTACAGTGATCTGGAAGATATGCCAGATTTAGAAAGCCTTATCAGATAGGACAAACCAAAGACAGTATTTGCCACACTAAACATAGGCAGCACCCAGACCAAGTTCCATCTTTGTCTAAGTATTTCTGTTTGGTCTTTTCACTTTCCACATTGAAAACTACTGTAATATCCAAGAAATATGTCCAATGACAGGCCTGTAAACAGGCTACTACCAGGATAATTATCCAACCGCCATGTAAGTCATTTCAGATGAAATTTCCAAGTCAGAGTACAATGAAATAGGCTTCTGATTGTTTGATATGTTGTCATATTACTCTCAGAACCTGCCTCTATATTAACACTAGTGCAGCCTAGAACATTACATGTCCAAAACATACATTGCCTCCTTTGTGTATCAAAAACTAGGTGATCTCCCATATTGTGTCAAATATTGAATGTAGGATGGT